CTTATCTAATTAGCAAATATTTCTTTGAGCCACATGGATGGGTTATTATATTATTATAATGATAACTCGGAGATAAAAATATTCTCAGGTAACACATCCTAAGAATTCCAAGTTATTTTTTCTAGCAGGTTAGAAATTAATGTAATTCTTAGATATACATGTTCCATGTTAATTTATATAATATCACATATGATTGTTGTTCTAGGGTATGTGAAACATTTGTCTGTAGGCTTTATAAATAAAATTGAAGAAGGATTGTAATCTAAAACTAACCACACTCTGGGTTTAACTGATGTATAAACATTTATTACATAGATTAAATGCATCTGCTCATTAGGAAATGTAATATAACAAATGACTGTAATATAATATTCACAAACATTCCCTGTGTTCGATTTCTTCTTTCAAAGATAAACCAACTAAGTGAATAAAAGATACTGAAAACTATAACAGCTGCCTTGGAATTTGTACTATGTAATCATTCATCAGCTGAACTGTCATTCATTGTGCTAGATATATTTACAGTTGACTAACTCCATCAGAGAATTAATGCTAATATCCTACCATATTAATTTGATAAAAATACACATATAGAAAGCTTGATGTTTGCGTACATTCATTCATACTACAATGAACCAATATCCAACCAATTGCACTTTCTCAAGTCCTCCTCCTACACCTCTAACACCAGAACTGCACCCCATCCCCACTCATCTACTTACCTTTCCCTGTCACCCCAAGGAAAACCCTGGAAGAATAGATAAGCATTGCAGCTTCACCTGAAGGTCAAGTCGACACATTTGGTCTTTGGCAAAGTGGGGCGGGAAAGCTACTGCCACACTGGAGGGCACCTCCCTGAAGAGGCTCTGGGCCTGATTCCCATTTACACTGCGGCTCTTTGCCTTGGTATGGCAGCGCGAAGGGGCTGAGACGTGCGTCCCTGGTCTGTGACAGAAAGGAGCTGGTCCCAGAAGAGCAGCACAGGGGCCCCGATCCTCCAGAGTATTTAGGTACCTAATTCCTACTGATTTCAGCAGGAACTAGGTGTCCAACACCTTAGGGGAACTGGGCCTGCCGGTCCCAGCTGGAATCCCCCCTCCGCTGGCCAGGGACAGCTCTTTCCCTTTAATACAACAAATTCCTATTAACCGGGGACACTTTAATGAAGCATTCGACACCTATCACTGTGCTTGCCCCAAGGAGCCCCATCTCTAGTGCTGGCCTGGCTACCCAGCACCCTCAGCAGCACACAGATACTTCCCGGAGCTTTGAAAGGGGAGGGGCGCATGCCTGCAGGGCAGCAGAGATCAAAACACTGAGGAGACCAATCAGGGCAGGCATGTGCGATACTGGCGGAAGCCAGTTCTGTGGACAAAAGAATCATCAGTGTCTCCACTGGCTCTTTGTCGACAATAAAGGGAGGGGAAAAGACAAAAGTCTCTCCTAGGGGTGGAAGGTTTTCTCACCAAAACTGGGCATTTTCCCCGACAAAAGTCCCATTGAAGTGTGTACGCTCTTCAGGGCCGGCCCACAACATTTTGGCATCTGAGGCGGGGAGCTCAAGTGACGCTCCCATGGCCCCTCACTTGGGTCAAAACTTTGAAAGGTCCCAATTCTGCCTTCTTCCTGTTCTACTCCTCTCATGGTACTGCTTTGCTACCTACAATAATAAAGGAGAACTAACAACTTAAAATGCCTTGTTCAAAAATTTTAAGTAACACTTAACTTTCAGGTTTCAGAGTAGCAGCCGTGTTAGTCTGTATCCGCAAAAAGAACAGGAGTACTTGTGGCACCTTAGAGACTAACAAATTTACTTAACTTTCAAATGCCTGAACAGCAAATGTAACTTTTCTTGTCTGCATAGTAAACACTGGCATTTTTATCTGTTTGAATAATCAAAGTGGTGCTTTCCGTGTCTTCTTGGTTGCAAAGATTTGAACTGGTTCCTGAAGGTCCACAGTCTGGGCCAGCTCATGCTCTATTGAGATGGTTGCAAGGCCAACCAGCCTCTCTTGTGTCATTGTGGAGCGTAGATGTGGTTTTATTAACTTCAGCTTGCATTCTCCACTGGCACCTGTCACAGGAAGTGTTAGAAGTATGCGCAGAGCAACAAAAGCATTTGAAAAGAGGGTGGTCGTTTTATTTGTGCACAGATATTCCAGAACAGCCTTTGGAGTTGATCCTGCTGAAATGTACCAACAGCCCCCAACTAAAACCTCTCCAGCGCATCATCAAGGATCTACAATCTATCCTGAAGGACAATCCCTCACTCTCACAGACCTTGGGAGACAGGCCAATCCTCGCTTACAGACATCCCCCCAACCTGAAGCAAATACTCACCAGCAACTACACACCACACAACAAAAACACCAACTCAGGAACCAAACCCTGCCACAAACCCTGGTGACAATTAGGTCCATGTATCTATTCAAGGGACATCATCCTAGGACCTAACCACAACAATCACACCATCAGGGGCTTGTTCACCTGCACATCTACCAATGTGATGTGATATATGCCATCATGTGCCAGCAATGCCCCTCTGCCATGTACATTGGCCAAACCGGACAGTCTCTACACAAAAGAATAAATGGACACAAATCTGACATCAGGAATCATAACATTCAAAAACCAGTAGGAGAACATTTCAATCTCTCTGGTCACTCAATAACACACCTAAAAGTGGCAATTCTTCAACAAAAAAACTTCAAAAACAGACTCTAACGAGAAACTGCAGAACTGGAATTAATTTGCAAACTGGATACCATCAAATTAGGCCTGAATAGGCTCTGGATGGGTCATTACAAAAACTAATTTCCCCATACTAATTTCCCCCTACTGTTACTCACACCTTCTTGTCAACTGTCTGTAATGGGCCACTCCCTTACAACCTGAAAAGTTATATTTCCTCCCTTGGTATCCTGCTGTTAAGTGAATTATCTCGTTAGACTGACCTCACACTTGGTAAAGCAACCCCAGCCTTTCATGTATTTACACCTGCTCCTGTATTTTCCCCTCCATGCATCTGATGAAGTGGGTTTTAGTCCACGAAAGCTTATGCCCAAATAAATTTGTTAGTCTCTAAGGTGCCACAAGGACTCATTGTTCTAGCCCAAAAGGAATTATTTTGGGGAAGTTCTATGGCCTGCGTGATACAAGTCAGACTAGGATCTGGTCTACACTTAAAATTTAGGTTGGCATGGCTACATTGCTCAGGGGTGTGGATTTTTCACACACCTGAGTGATGTGGCTATGCTGACCTAACCCTCCGTGTAGATGCAGCTAGGCTGATAGAAGAATGCTTCCAGAACAGCCTTTAGAGTTGATCCTGCTGAAATCCAAAGGCCCCAACTAAAACCTCTCCAGCGCATCATCAAGGATCTACAACCTATCCTGAAGGACGATCCCTCACTCTCACAGATCTTGGGAGACAGGCCAGTCCTTGCTTACAGACAGCCCCCCAACCTGAAGCAAATATTCACCAGCAACTTCACACCACACAACAAAAACATTAACCCAGGAACCAAACCCTGCAACAAACCCCAGTGCCAAGTCTGTCCGCATATCTATTCAAGGGACACCATCATAGGACCCAACCACATCAGCCACAGCATCAGGGGCTCGTTCACCTGCACATCTACCAATGTGACATATGCCATCATGTGCCAGCAATGCCCCTCTGCCATGTACATTGGCCAAATCGGACAGTCTCTACGCAAAAGAATAAATGGACACAAATCTAACATCAGGAATTATAACATTCAAAAACCAGTAGGAGAACACTTCAATCTCTCTGGTCACTCAATAACCTAAACACCTAAAAGTGGCAATTCTTCAACAAAAACAGACTCTAACGAGAAACTGCAGAACTGGAATTAATTTGCAACTGGACACCAACAAATTAGGCCTGAATAAGCCCTGGATGGGTCATTACAAAAACTAAATTTCCCCATACTAATTTCCCCCTACTGTTACTCACACCTTCTTGTCAACTGTTAGAAGTGGGCCACCCTCATTACCACTACAAAAGTGATTTTTCCTCCCTTGGTATTCGACTGTTAATTGAATTGTCTCGTCAGCACTGACCCCCCTCCCCCACTTGGTAAGGCAACTCCCATCTTTTCATGTATTGCGTATATATACCTGCTACTGTATTTTCCACTCCATGCATCTGATAAAGTGGGATTTAGCCCACAAAAGCTTATGCCCAAATAAATTTGTTAGTCTCTAAGGTGCCACAAGAACTCTTCGTTGTTTTTGCTGATACAGACTAACACGGCTACCACTCTGACTCCTTTTGCAGTATCATTGAAAATATTGCCTTGTAAATTAAACTAAGTAGAGAGTATGAGTCTAGGTGGAGAAGTCACAAAAGCCAATAGTCCAGTGGAATTTGTTTGTCTTTGCCGGCTGTTCCCTTTTCATTTAAATGCCTGTTTTCTCTTCAGAACAGTAAGTAGGTTTCACTTCCCGTGACTCTTAGGAAATTAACAGCCCGCACATTGGATGTGTGCAGGGAGCTGTCTGGGTAATCTCACAAGAGAAACTAACCCATGGGGATTTCTTAAAGTTAAAGCCCCCCAAAATATTTCTGGGGTGGGACAGAGAAAACAGAGTCAAATTATCTCAACTCCAGTCCCTTAATCCTAAATGTGAGTTGACTCAGTTTTGGGCCTTTTAAATATAAACAGAAATACTGCACTTTTTTCCTATTATTATGTCCTTCACACTTGCATGGAATTTGTAGTGAAAACTTTGGTTCGTGTTTCCGAGCAAGATTCCTAAGAGATATGAAAAAAACAGGGCACCCTTAATGGAGGGACAGGAGCTGAGATAATTTGACTCCCTTCCCCCGACTCCTCACCCCACACAATATTTATTTGTGGCTTTCACTTCAAGAATTACCCCTGTGTTATTTTTGCCTAGGAGAGCAAAAAGGCAGCTCCGCTCCCTGCACACAGAGAGGAGTGCATCGATCACTTCCTAAGACTCACTGAAAGTGAAACCTAGTTTGAGTCCTTATGAGAAATCAGGAATTTCAATTAAAAGGGAACAGTTGGCAAAGCAAAACAATTCTGTCACCTGTTGGGACTTTCCTGCACAGCTTGAATAATCTCTGGTTATTTTAGTTGTCTTGGCAATAATCAAGACCAATCAGCATCAAGGAGGGAAAAGGTTAGAATATAAATGTACACTGGGAAACACTTTCTCTTAGACACTCCTCAACCTCTCCCAGACCTCCAAGAATAATACAGAAGAACCTTCACTCTCCTCACCATGAAGGGAACCTGGGCTGTTGTCTTTTGTTCACTGCTCCTGATTGCAGCTGAAATTCAAGGTAAGAGGCAGCAATATCACAAAAGACGTGTAATACAGTGAGAAAGCCAGAGGTGTGAGTCACTGGAAAGCTGTGTAGAATAAATGCTTAGAAATTACTTTTGTTGGAAAAATGTGATCTGAGTTCAGGGTTTGTGTTCTACTGCCGCTCGCAAACATCTGTCCACTCTGCTTGTGTCTAGAAGGTGTGGGTTGTCCACGCAGGACTCGGACTGATCAGCTTGTATGTAGCAGGGAAATGAATATGACAGTTCTCAGCAGGCTTGGATTTCTGTCCAGCTGTCCCCTAGTTTGTAAGGCTGTGAAATCAGCCTCAGTCTATCAAATTCTGTCTTGTTTTAATCAGCAGAGGAAGACAGTTTGGACCTGACCCAAAGCACAGTGAAGTCAATGGGAACTTTCCCACTGATTTCAATGGGTGTTGGATCAGAGCCTTTGTGAGCAACAATGATTTTAGTTCCAACTGCTCATTCACTCCCATCACTTTTACACCGGGGCGATCCTGTTTTCCATTGACTCGCGTGAGAGCAGAATCAGGCCCTCTGACTTCAAAACAAGACTGATAACACAAAAGAAATTCTCAGCTCTCAAAGGAAGAGGTTCAGAAGGGCCTAGTGTAAACAAACTAACGAGATCAAGGCAAAAGTGTGTAGCATGTTTTGTGACATCGTTCTAATGTAAATATGCACATGGAAACACTGCAGGACAAATTACTCTGCAGCCGTGAGGATGAAATGGAGTGTTTTCAACCTCTCCTCTTCTGACTTAAATATATTTGATTGAAGTCATCTCAGGTATCTAATATCCTTTTAATCTTTCTCTCTTGGCCCATTTCTTTTAGGGCAGCCGACCTATGGAAAAGGACGTTGCAGCTGCGTAGACAAAGGTTCTGATTTAGTTCAGCCAAAAGCCTTAGGAAAAATAGAAGTGATTCCCAAGAGCTCTTCCTGTGACCATGTTGAGATCATGTGAGTAATGACTTAACCACTCAGCTGTCACCACTCCGTGGGGCTGTTGTTGCAATTGCAGGAAATATGGGGATTTCCCCCCATTTAACGTAACCCCAGGTTCTGATGTCCATCTCCGTATTACAAGCAAAGCAAAGTGCAATGAGGCTAGAGACTAAGGCCCAGCTCATCAGCTGGTGTGTTCAACACAGCTTCATAGACCTCCATGGAAATACACCAACTGAGGACTAGCCTGGAGGGTGGGATTCTCCAGGGCTCGGTGCCTTGTTTAGTCATTGACACCTGTGCACAGTGGGTGCACAATGCTACCAAATCTGAATAGGAGCATTTTGCACTCCCTTGCACAGGGGCCAACGACTACACAGGTTGTAGGGAATCAGGCCCTGAGACTAGATGAGAACCTAGATCCCACTTCCTAGGTGCATAGAAATACATCAGGTAGGTCCTTCTAATGCTTTAGCTGATTTGAGTTCTTTTGATTTTGTATTCGCTCCCAGCTCATGGGACAATGTAGCATATCACTCAGCTCACCGAGGGCCAGACTCCTGCTATTCAGACCCTGATCCCAGAAAACAAAGACAATGGTGACCTTTTCATTCTATGGAAATGAATTCTGTTTTGCTTTGTTCATTTCAGTGCGACAATGAAGGCCACCGGAGTGCAAAGATGCTTGAACCCTAATTCCAAACGGGTACAGAAGATGATGACAACCCTCATCAAGAAAAGGTAGGTTTCCCATCTGTCTGCAGGGAAAAACTCTCATGGGCTTAAGAGCTCACTTCAGTCTTATACATCAGTGAGATCCAACTTTGTGCTCAATTGATGGTCACTGCAGTCTCACGGCCTGTGCCTGAACCACTGCTCACAGCGTCCTCAGAAACCTGCATTGCAACCCCAGAAAATGGCAGATTTCTTGGGACACAGTATAAGGTATCTGGGGTATACAGAACCCCGCCATTGCAGCAATAGCCCCTGCTTCATGCAGAAGAGCACGTCAAATGCATTGCATTGTTTCAAAGGGAAAAACAAGTTTGTTTAAACAGCCTGTGTGTCTCAGACTCAGTACTACACTCACTTGTGCTGAATTTTGGGGCTCTTCACTCATGTGTGGGCTTCAAAAGCTGGGAAGAATGGCCATTCATGATGTCTACTGAGAAATCACATAATCCTTTAGGACCAGATTGTGCCACTTTTACCCTCAAAGCAAAGGGACTATTTGCAGCGTAAGGTGCCAATCAGCTTAACAGTGGTAGAATCTGGTCCTTTAAATTTAACCTGCTGTTCTACCAAGTACTCGATGGCCCTGGTTCTGATGTGACTTAAACTGGTGTAAATCAGGAGTAAGTCCAATGGAGTGGCACAGCGTAAAGCTAGTGTGAGACGAAAATCAAGCCCTTCTGTATGTAAAATCCTGAAAGAAAAATTCTAATGAAAGGATAAAGTTCCCACTGTGTTTTATTTTGACAGGTCTTCACAAAGCACTCACCGGTAAAGGAGAAGAGCTAAAGATCACTTCAACAGAGTAATGAGATTTTAGGATTTCAGTGCTATAGGCTCCCTCTTTGAGCCACACGGACGGGTTATTATATTATTATAATCATAACTACGAGAAAAAAAATAATATTCTCAGGTAACACATACTAAGAATTCCAAGTTATTTTTTCTATCAGGTTTGAAATTAATGTAATTAATATTAATTTCTATAATATCACATATGATTGTTGTTCTAGGGTACGTGAAACATTTGTCTGTAGGCTTTATAAATAAAATTGAAGAAATCTTATAATCTAAAGCTAACCACACTCTGTGTTTAACTGATGTATAAACATTTATAGATTAAATGCATCTGAAATATAACAAATGGCTAATATAATATTCACAACATTCCTTGTGTTAGACTTCCTCTTTTAAAGATAAACCAATTAAAGTGAATAAAAGACACTGAAAACTGTAACAGTTGCTTTGGAGTTTGTACTATGTAATCATTCATCAGCTGAAATTTCATTCATAGTGCTAGATATATTTACAGTTGACTAACTCCATCAGCGAATTAATGCTATTATCCTACCATATTAATTGATAAAAATACACATAAAGAAAGCTCAATGTTTGTAAACCAATATCCAACCAATTGCACTTTCTCAAGTCTTCCTCCTACACCTCTAACACCAGAGCTGCACCCCATCCCCACTCATCTACTTACCTTTCCCTGTCACCCCAAAGAAAATGCTGGAAGAATAGATAAGCATTGCAGCTTCACCTGAAGGTCAACACATTTGGTCTTTGGCAAAGTGGGGCGGGAAAGCCAGTGCCACACTGGAGGGCACCTCCCTGAAGAGGCTCTGGGCCTGATTCCCGTTTACACTGTGGCTCTTTGCCTTGGTGTGGCAGCGCAAAGGGGCTGAGACGTGCGTCCCTGGTCTGTGACAGAAAGGAGCTGGTCCCAGAAGAGCAGCACAGGGGCCCCAATCCTCCAGAGTATTTAGGTACCTAACTCCTACTGATTTCAGCGGGAACTAGGTGTCCAACACCTTAGGGGAACTGGGCCTGCCGGTCCCAGCTGGAATCCCCCCTCCGCTGGCCAGGGACAGCTCTTTCCCTTTAATACAACAAATTCCTATTAACCGGGGACACTTTAATGAAGCATTCGGCCCTTATCACTGTGCTTGCCCCAAGGAGCCCCATCTTTAGTGCTGGCCTTGCTGCCCAGCACCCTCCTGGGCCCCTGCGCTCTCTGCCTGTAGGGGGCGCAGGCGGCTCCCAGCAGGCCAGACTCCGAACAACGCACGTGCGGTCGCTTTTGTAACAAGTTTGTCCCTCTGCGGCTCCCTTAGCTTTGGAAGCCAAGATGGCAGCGCCCAGTGGTCGCCCACGTGATTGTTCCGGGAGGGGCAAAGCCACTCGTAGGCGGTAGCGCCCCGGCTTCGGCAGCCATGTCTGGCCGCAACAACAACAAGCTGCCCAGTAACCTGCCCCAGCTGCAGAACCTGATCAAGCGGGACCCGCCGGCTTATACCGAAGAGGTGAGAGAGCGGGACCCCCGCCGCCGGGAAACCCTCTTTCCCTTGGGAGGTCCGGAGGGCAGTGACACCACGTGTTGTGCCCTGCGGGTGCCAGAGAGGGACAAGGCGGGGGAGTTAATATCTCTTAATGGACCAGCTTCTGCTGGTGGAAGGTGCCGACCGGCTGGCGAGCTTCACAGAGCTCCTCTTCAGGTCTGGGGAAGGTAACCAGAGTCACCCCCATTCAGTGTCACTTCCACAGCGCAATCCCCTGCCCCCAAAGGGCTCTATGGCCTTGCTCGCAAAGGGCTTGTGTACCTGGCGATAACTAGTTGGATGATGATGGGAGTGAAATCCTAGTGGTGATTTCTGAGCTTCTGAGCTCAGGTACTGAGCTTCTCAGCTCGGCTGGCTACATGGAGGTGTCTTGTCTGCGCTGCCTGGAGTTAGATGTTTTGATGTAAAAACGCCCCTTTCCCCCGTTAAGATATAGCTGCCTTCACCAGAGATGGTGGCATATAAGGCAACACGCCTCCTCATTCATTTTCTCACATGGAGCTGGACTCCTTGAACTCAATGTGACTTTACATGCTTCAGATTAGGCATGTGCTAAAGCATCAAACTGAACCTGGGCCTTGGCTCTGGCTAGACACCTTTTTTTGCCAGCAATTTAACTATTTTAGTTAGGGGTGATACTTTTACTGATAGAATTGTACTGGTATAAAGGTGCCTTATGCTCGTGTGGTTTATTTGTCTTCCTGTAGGGGACTAGCTATGCTATTATGAAGCACTGCTGTACTAGTATAACTGCATCCATACTGCCAAGTCTGTACTGGTATAGTTAATGTGGTACAACTTTTGTGTGTAGATCAGTGCCTAAGAGAGACTTTAAAAGTTGCCTTAGGGTTTGTGTACTCATGGAAGTATTAACGAACAGCTATTGCACCTTATTCAGAGTTGTGGTACAAGCATTGGCAAGCCCTTAAACTGCCAACTTGCCATCATTTTAGCTTCTTAAAAAAGCTAGAAGTAACTTTATGCCAGTCCTGAATCCCCTTACCAGTTCTCGTAGTCCTACAATTGCCTATTTCTTTTTAAAATAAAAACTCCCCTCTGGCTACTGAAAGTCCCACCCAAACATCTGAAACTGACCGACGATAGGGGAGACATCAAAACTGACAAGACGCTTAGGGTGAATCTACACTATCCTGCTACATCGGCGCGTTGGGTGAAGAAGCTCTACTCCGATAGGAGAGCGCCCTCCTGTCAGCATAATTACTCCACCTCCACAAGAGACGAAAGCTGTGTTGTCGTCAGGAGAGCGTCTCGTGCTGACTTAGCGCTGGTGTGGACAGCACTTAGGTCGATGTCATTTGTGTCGCTCAGGGGTGTGGCTTTTTCCCATCCCTAAGTGACATAAGTTACATCGACTTAAGTGGTAGATAAGCTCTAAGTGTTGTCAGATGCACAAAGAAGAGAAACTGTAAATATATTTCTACTCTCATTCATTTCACACAGATCGGTGTTAAAGACGGTTAGCCCGTTGGCATATGCATGGTCAAAGATAGTGTCTATGCCAATGGAACAGTCATGTTGACCATTAGCTTTGGGGTGCGGGAACTGTTCTGTTTGATCCTTGATGTTAAACACAGCCATTCTCCCAATGTACACATGGTCAATAGGTCTGGATACCTTCCTCGCTGTCCCATCTCCCCTGTGGTTAGAGGTTGAGTTGAAACCAGAATTTTAAACCTCAGGAGTTCTCCACACAGCTTTAGAGTGGCATTATGCAACACCCGTCTCCCTCCTGCCTGTAGGCAATGTGCATGCATTATACCTGCACCGCAGCTATTTGTGCTTTATCGACTTCTGATGCATACTTTTCTGGACGGGGACTGTGCTCGGCTGCTCCCCAGTCCTGCAAAGACTTAAGCATGTGCTTGACTGCTCACAGTGCATCAAAACTTTGCAAGGTCAGGGCCCGGGGGTCCATGCAGTTTCTAGCACAACGGGAACCTAACTTTGATTGGTTCCTCTGTGCCCCATTGTAAATATTAATATCTCACCCTAATAAGAGACGTACTCCCATCTCAAGTGGATTAACTGTTAGTCACATCACTGAGACACTTGAGATGTATCATCAAAAGCTGCTTGGCTTGAATGTCGCAGGGAAAATGTAATTATATATTTAAAGGGACTCAGTGGCATTTCAGGGGGCATGGAGCAGCATTCATGTCGCACTCCCCTTCAGTACCCTGCCCAAGCTGGGGAAGCTAATGATCCAACCAGCAGACCGTTGTCGATGATTAATCCTGGTCACATGCCGCCTGAGGCATGTTGTGCATACACTAAAAAGAGTGCCGTTTCGAGGGGATTGTCTGACATGAATGGGTTTCTAAGGGCCTGATCCTGTACCACTGAAATCCTTGAGAGTTTTGCTGCAGTTTTCAGGTGGTGCAGAATGGGGGCCTTGGCTCTCTTGAATGAGAAGCTATCTTATCCAGTAATGACAACTAAGAGTGAAATGCCATATTTGTGTGTCAGTTTCTCCAACAGTATCGTCACTACCAGTCCAATGTGGAGATTTTCAAACTCCAGCCCGATAAGCCCAGTAAGGAGCTGGCTGAATTGGTGATCTTCTTGGCACAGGTAAAATTCTGTAATTCTAGGAAAAACAAACATATAGAACTATTAAAGATGGCCTGCAAAACCTTTCCCCCCAATGAAGTAATTGTAAGCTATATACAGATGGCCCATATAGCTAGGAGCAGGTGATAAATAACGGACGAAAAGATTTTTAATAATATATTTTTTTTTAATTTCCATTCTCCAGCGTTGCTTTCTGTGGATTACAGTATAAAATGGTAAAAGTAAAACATTTTAAAAACTGAACTGTTTGTTTAAAAAACAAACAATAACCCAGTTGAGTCCCATTTGACAGACTACATTGCTTCAGCAAAATTGTTAATAAGTGTGTTGTTTCAGAATGATTCTGGAACATCATAGTGATGCCAAATGGAACTTGTTACTCATAATTATCTTATTTTTGGAATGGGTGTTGTAGATCACCTTTAAATGCATCGAACATACAGATTTTACAGCACTCTTAATCCTTTAATAAAGAAGTGAGCTTTTATGTAGGTAGTTAATGATAGAAACTTCAGCATTCAAAGATATACTGCACATCAACAAAATTTGAAAAAGTTAGTCGTCATTTAATGTATATTTTTTAGGTTTTTTTTTTTATTAGTATCAGATACTCTCAGAGAAATATACCATTGTTACACTGTTAGAGTTTATTATAGCGACTTCAATAAAGATTACTTTTTTAAACAGGTTGGGCACTGCTATCCAGAACATCTTGTTGATTTTCCACAACAGCTGAAAGAACTGCTTTCTTACAACCACACCGTTTTGGATGCAGATCTTCGAATGGTAAGTCTGACATTTAAAGCACTGATGTTTATTGATAAGGTCTTTAAGAGGATTCTGTA